GATCCAATTTGTACTTTTTCAACCTCTGCGGGAATGGAATAAGTGGCTCATGAGGGTTGATAGAATTGGTAGTTGTAACTCGTGATGTATTGGGACTCTTCTTGGTAACATCATCTGTTGTTTGTTCAATCTGTTTCACAATCTCGTCATCTGAGGTGGGCGCTGATTCCTTGCTCGCTACCGATCTTTTTACATGTATCTCCGGTAGTTGTACTCCACTTCTGGTTGTTATAGCATTTGCGTGCTCCTTCGGATTGATTTCAATGTTGCTGGGTAGGTTTCCTGGTGCTCTACTTGTCATGAAGATTGCCATCTGTCCCATTTACGTCTCCAAATTTTTTATTGCAGCACTTTGATCTTGGAGAGTTGCGTCTATCTTTCGCATAAACTGGTTGTTGGCCTCCATGTACTGATTAATCGTTGCCATAAACTTCTCAAACATCTCTTCCAATGGTGGCTTTTTATCGTACTGCTGAAATTAACCTTGTGGTCTGTTTTGATTCTGGTTACTCCATGAGAAGTTTGGGTGTTTTCTCCAGCCCTAATTGAAGGTTTTTGAATGTGGATTGTTCTGTTGGCGTTGACTCCATTGCACAAAATCTGCATGTTCGATCCCCTGTGTGAGAATTAGACAGTTGACAGTATTGTGGTCTACTTCACATTTTTTACAGTTTGGCGTCTTGACCTATTTTACATTGGCGGTCTGTGAAATGCTTTTAACCTTATGGAATAAGGAGTCTATCTTCGCGAATAATGCTGAGTAAGTATCTACTTCATAAACCCCCGGCGTTCTCTTCTGAACCACTTGATTTGTAGACCACATGGCTGAAGTTGTAGCCATTCTCTCAAATAGTCCCCATGCTCCGTCAATTGTTCTCGTGGAGATTGACCCGTCGGATGATGAATTAACCATGCCCTTGAAGAATGGAAGTAATCCAGTGTAGAAAAATCGGATTTGTGTCTTTTTATCAAAGTCATGCTGAGGACACTTCCTTAACATATTTTTGAAACGATTTCATGCCTCATCAAATGATTCGGACTCGCCTTGGTTGAATATAGAGATGTCATGCCGCATTTTTGCTACCTTGGCTAGCAAGAAGAACTTGGTGCAGAATTTGTGGGCTAACTCCTTCCAAGTGGTGATGCTTGCGAAGGGAAGTGAATCGAGTCATTCAAGTGCTTTATCCCGCAAAATGTGTGGAAACAATCACAGTCTTATAACATCGTCTGAGATACCCTAGTACCTAAAGTGTTGGCACATGTTCATAAATCGGGATATGTGTGTATGTGGATTCTCACTAGCCATCACGTGGTATTGATGCCCATTCTGAAATAGTTGAATTACATTTGTTTTCAACTGGAAGTTCGGTTGTCCAAATGAAGGATACACAATGCTAGATTGACTCTGGATCACCAACGGTGCCCTGAAGTCCCCAAGTACCATATTCCCTTCATCTTCAACCCTCGTGCCTTCGTTGAGTTGAATTACCGGATGATTTTGCTCGTTAGCCATTTGTTGTGCCGCTCTTGCTTCTCTTTACCTGTGATGAAATATGCGTTCGATCTCTGGATCAATGGGAACCAAATCTCGATTAGGTGATCTTTGCATACAAGCCCTGAGATAGCAAAATAACACAAAATTAAATTAAAATAAACAATAACTAAGTCTAGTAAGTTAACTACTACTAATCTAGGTAAGTTCGAATTAGTGTCACAATAGATAAAATTAAACTAAGTTTCAATCCCCGGCAATGGCGCCAAAAACTTGTTCACGAAATTATTTGTTTCGATTTACAACACAGCGCAAGTGTACGGTTCATTAACAAGTAGTAAAATAGATTATGAGTCCAAGTATCGATCCCACAAGGATTGAATTAGTTCAAATCAACATATTATAACCTTAACTGAAACACGAAAGTAAGATTGATGTATTGTAATTTAACTAAGGAAGATGTGAACTATGATGCAATTACGAGTGAGAAACTTATATTAAATGCAAAATGACCTGGATGTAATTTATGAGAATTTATGGAATTAATAAATTACTAATGCACTAGGATCACGAATTTCCAAGCAACACCCGTTCAACATTTAATTATGTAGATTTGACACACATTTCCACAATTGATGAATCAATATTCCTGTTTTAATTCAGTAATCTCTCTCGAGCAATGTCAAACCTTCCCCAATATGTGATTCGACTATATCTCTATGACGAATACTAACATACAGGAATGTATTATGATTTCATGAATATTCAACAATTCACACAAGGCATAGAGGTATATTTTTATCCCCTATCGGACCCTATGATGATTTATACTATGTTGAGCCTATTTTCCTTCTTTCGAATACATAAAACAGGCCACCAAAATCATACAATTACGTGCACAATAATAATATGGAAATAAAAATGTATAAATCATTCAATTTTGAAACATGTGCTTAAATATGTCAAATCTCCAAATCAAAAATCAAAAGTTGTATTGTAAGGTTTATCGATCTCCTAACAATGCAAAATCTAGCCTAACATGCTAAAAAGAAGAAAATACAAAAATAGTTGAAGAAACGTTATCACCTGAATCAAGTTTCAATCAAATCTTCAATTGGCACGATATTTTTCTTTTGTTCTCTCTTCGTTTTCTCCTTCAAAATCTCCCTTTTTCTTGTAAAAATAGCTTCTCCTTCGTTCTGGTCGAGTTTTTGTTTATATAGGACCCTAAAAATCTTGTTTCCATAAGAGTTTCGACGAAATAAGGAAACTGCAGATTCGGCCTCCGAATTGCGCTATGCTACCGCATAGTACATTTCTATGCAATAGCATAGAGTAAAAAAGATTTGAGAATAATTTCTCAGGATGCCTCTATGCGGCCCATAGGAGTTTCTACCATGGGACCGCATGGTTATGTCATTCTTTTCGCCGAACAGTTTTTAGTATTTTGGTCATAACTTTCTCTCCTAATCTCCGATTGAAGTGATTCAAAGTGCATTGAGAAGAAAACTCAAAGATCTACACTTTTATAGAAATAGGCTTTCTCAAATTCTGATTTTTACTATGCCAAAAATGGACCTAAAGTAGAGACTAAAAATTACGAGCATAGCTTTTTCGCCTAAAAGTTGATACTTGATAATACTTCGACCATATTTCACCTCTTTGACTCCTTTCCTCATTCGATTGACCTCTAACACTCTTGAATCTTCATTCCATTTTCCGTCTCATCTATGGATTATTTGTAACTTGGTCCCCGAACTTTCAGTTTGATTCATTTTGGTCATTTTTGCTTCTTTTTCTCGTGAATTCCATCAAGTCCATCATTATGGCCCTATAACATGAAATTGCATAGAATTAAGTCATAATCAACCAATTTTATCAATAATTAGTCATGTTTTGTGGATCTAATAAGTGTGTAAAAACACACTTATCAATTACCTCTTGTCTTATCACCCTATCAATCAAATAAACTTGCCACAGGCGACATCATCACCGTCCGGCACAACCAATCCTAAGTCCTCAACCTCTAGCCCCTTGCAGGTCATCATTACCTGGGAAAAATATTGACACATGGTCACCGGCCTCATTGACCAATCACAAGAGAATCCGACGACCCGAGTTCCGAACTCGGTATTGTTGCCGATTTGGTTGATTTGATGTAATGTCGGCTGACACTATGTATAAATAGTTGAATAGAACTCTTGTAAAGGGCAAGGAATTTCATACAACAACTTAAGGCATAATTACACTCTCTAAACATATTTTGTGGTCTTTTTTCAATAATAAATCGCCATTTTTTTCTTAAAGTTGGTTTAAGATTAACCTTGCTAATTTTGACGTCAACAAATATAATGACACCGCAGGTGGTTCAAAGCGGCATTACACATATCCTTCGAAGACGACCGTGCTTTTTGGGGGCATAATGGGTTATATAGCACATATGAAGTATTGATCACAACAACATGATGAACATAAAAATAAGAATTTAATTTGATGAAGAAATTGGAGATTTTTTTAAACAATAGAGAAAGAATTGCAACAATTGTGTTTCTCATAATTATTCTAACTTCCATAATAAATCAACTTGAAAAGAAGTGCCACCAACTATATATAGAAGACATATCAAAATCCTAACAATATTCTTTAAGACAAAAATAGTATACAACATATGAAATAAATGAATAATATTTTCCAAAAATAAAATAAAATAAAATCTAACCGAGTTTGGATCACAAATGCAACACGAAAAACATACAATGATCATCCATTCATCCCCAAACTTTTTATCAAAGAATATCATCAATTTCAGACACAAAACCTGTTTTAAGTAAAAGTTCTTAGTTTCTATTTTCCGGATTTCGTTTGTGCTTTTGCAGTTCAGATTTAAGCTTGGAAAACTCTGCTAAAGTTATTTGTTTGGAGACCGTAAAACTTCTCTATTCAAGAAGGTGCAAATAACGCTTTTATAGTAAAGCGTTCTACACTATTCAAGCATGTTGTTTTACATCATCTCAGAGTCTAGTGCAGATTTTTTCGCATTCGAGTCAATCTCAATAGTGAGTTCAAAGTGTCACCATTGTTACATTGTGGACGTAGTTTGACGGGTTCTCAACAATTTTCCCTCCCTCCCTCTCTCTTTTTCTGAGACTATTTGCAGATTTTAATAGTGTTTGTATACTGGTTAAAACAGGGTTTTTGCTTAGAATTGCCACCGACAGTGACAAGTACATCATCGAAGCTTTCTCCCCCACCACATGAATGATGAATGGTCCACATAAAAATATATGTGCATAGTGAGAGAGAGAATGGGGAAGCAGGCATGTGGCAGAATGGGGGACACACCAAACTCATCACAACTCCATGAATAATTGAGTCCATGAATGAGACAACAGAAGAAAGGATGTGAAGAACAGTAACTTCCCCCTTTTTTCCGAAAAGAAAAAAAAAAGAGAGAGATTATTTTATTGTTGGAAATAAAAAGTAATTATCGTGTATATATATTTAAAAGAACAGTCCCTCTCTATCATCTTTTTCTCACCCCTTACTGTCAATAATGCTCTTCATTCTGATTACTTCTGTCAGCTCCATTCCCTGAATTTAGACACCATAATCCCACCAAAAGTCACGAAAAAACAAAGAGAGAGAAAAAGAGAAAAAAAGTTTACAAGTCTTCCCAGAATTACAGTATTTGGTATTTGAATTCACATATTTTCTTCGAAGAACCAGATTGCTCTGTTTTTCCCCCTTTTTGAAGATGCCAAGACCTGGCCCACGGCCCTATGAGTGTGGTAGAAGAGCTTGGCACAGTGATACACACCATCGCATTAGAGGTTCTCTAATTCAAGAAATCTTCAGGTACTCTATGTGGTGTCCAGTTATATTGTAGACTTATTTCCTCGACGGTGGTCATCTCATCCCTTTTATGTCAAATGGTTGTGTTAGGATTGTGAATGAGGTTCATAGTTCAGCCACGAAGAAGAACAAAGAGTGGCAAGAGAATCTGCCCATTGTGGCCTTGAAAGCTGAAGAAATTATGTATTCTAAAGCCAATTCTGAGGTTATGTTTGTGCCCTTACCTCTCTCAAATTCTCCTCTATTGTAGCACAGTTCAATTAAATTTTTTTAGTTCTTTCACTACTGCGTAGTGAACATGCACTTGTTGCTTTTTTGTTCACATTTGGCATGTATTTGTTTCCTCAGGCTGAGTATTCAGATCTTAAAACTCTTTGGCACCGAGTAAACGATGCTATTGACACTATAATTCGAAGAGACGAGAGTTCGGAAACTGGGGAACTTTTGCAGCCTTGTATTGAAGGTAACTTCCATTTAAATTTTCCTTTCTTGCAGGTAAAGATCAATTTATGTTATACATTTGACATTTGTCGACTATTTGGATCTCTCTGTGTGTGTAAATGTGAATCCCCTGGCATTTACTGGACACTCAATTAGGTGCAGTAAAGGGTACTAGACAATATTAATGAAGAACAAAAGCTAAAGAGTTAAGTCCCTTGTAAAGGAAGTTTGCCAGGGAGAATGCTGGGGAGATAGGTGGCAGTCGTGCATTGGTTGGTAAAACTGTTTTTTGTTCAAGATCCAATGAATGCGCGTCACATGTCTTCCTGTAATGCAATCTAACAATTCTCCCAATACATGTAGCAGGGTTCAAGGCTAAAATCTCAACCATTGTACCACTAGTCTTGTTTGGTACCATGTACCAAACTTTCTCAAAGATTTGTGATTCTGGATTTGTAGTTTGATAATTTGTTGATTTGGGATTGGAAGACTTTCAGTTATAAAAAATGCTAACCCCAAATTGAACAACTGATATCTAAAGCGATTATTCTTGGTTTCCCTTGTGGTTAGCTGCTCTGTATTTGGGCTGCACTCCGAGAAGGTCATCCAGAAGTCAGCGAAACGACACGCCTAGATACTACCTTAGGCCTGATGCTCCAGACGCCATCTCTGTTCCACCGAGCAATTTGGACAGCAAACTTCTTGGCAATTATACATCGAAAAGCCAACTGATGTTACAGTATTCAAAACTTATGACCTCTACCGCCATAAATTCCACATTTTCCAGCTCGAATGTTGACAGTTTAGTTGTCCAAAACAGAGATTATGATAGCATGAAATTTCCCATTTTACCAAAGAATTTGATTCCCAGTAATAACTACCAAAGTGCGCCAGTACAAACTTCGTGGCCAGTTTATCCATTGTATTATGCAGATCAACTTCAATTTGATGACCCAAAGCTTAGTTTAAAGAAGCCTTCCAATTCGTATTCTCACCCCAAAGAAAATGATATCAGTGCCATACAAAACCATTCCTCTTTTGAACAAGATCCTCCTGAGTATTCAGATCTTAAAACTCTTTGGCACCGAGTAAACGATGCTATTGACACTATAATTCGAAGAGACGAGAGTTCGGAAACTGGGGAACTTTTGCAGCCTTGTATTGAAGGTAACTTCCATTTAAATTTTCCTTTCTTGCAGGTAAAGATCAATTTATGTTATACATTTGACATTTGTCGACTATTTGGATCTCTCTGTGTGTGTAAATGTGAATCCCCTGGCATTTACTGGACACTCAATTAGGTGCAGTAAAGGGTACTAGACAATATTAATGAAGAACAAAAGCTAAAGAGTTAAGTCCCTTGTAAAGGAAGTTTGCCAGGGAGAATGCTGGGGAGATAGGTGGCAGTCGTGCATTGGTTGGTAAAACTGTTTTTTGTTCAAGATCCAATGAATGCGCGTCACATGTCTTCCTGTAATGCAATCTAACAATTCTCCCAATACATGTAGCAGGGTTCAAGGCTAAAATCTCAACCATTGTACCACTAGTCTTGTTTGGTACCATGTACCAAACTTCCTCAAAGATTTGTGATTCTGGATTTGTAGTTTGATAATTTGTTGATTTGGGATTGGAAGTCTTTCAGTTATAAAAAATGCTAACCCCAAATTGAACAACTGATATCTAAAGCGATTATTCTTGGTTTCCCTTGTTGTTAGCTGCTCTGTATTTGGGCTGCACTCCGAGAAGGTCATCCAGAAGTCAGCGAAACGACACGCCTAGATACTACCTTAGGCCTGATGCTCCAGACGCCATCTCTGTTCCACCGAGCAATTTGGACAGCAAACTTCTTGGCAATTATACATCGAAAAGCCAACTGATGTTACAGTATTCAAAACTTATGACCTCTACCGCCATAAATTCCACATTTTCCAGCTCGAATGTTGACAGTTTAGTTGTCCAAAACAGAGATTATGATAGCATGAAATTTCCCATTTTACCAAAGAATTTGATTCCCAGTAATAACTACCAAAGTGCGCCAGTACAAACTTCGTGGCCAGTTTATCCATTGTATTATGCAGATCAACTTCAATTTGATGACCCAAAGCTTAGTTTAAAGAAGCCTTCCAATTCGTATTCTCACCCCAAAGAAAATGATATCAGTGCCATACAAAACTATTCCTCTTTTGAACAAGATCCTCCTAACATTAATTTACCAGTCGAATTCGATTCTATTAATCCTTCTGAAATCCAATGTGATTTGTCATTGCGGTTGGGCTCTCCAGCTGTTTCATGCAAGAGTATGGAGAATGGTCGTCCCCGAGAAGAGGAAAATGGTAATTTGGACAATACTCGAGAGGGAAGAAGCAAGTTAAGCGAGGATTTCTCATTCTTGATTCAGACTAAGAACGAGCAAGTTTGTTGGCAGTTGAGCCTCAATTCAATGAATGAATGAGCATTTGCCTCGATGAATTAACTTAGATTTCTTTAGTTTAAAATTTTATAATTACAAGCCAGGCTTGTACTTTTCTTGCAATCTTTGCGGTATTTTGCATGTTTGAAATCCCTTGAGATGACAAATTACTATAAAATAGTGCAACTTCCATATGTTTTTCGTAATTACTATAAAATAGGAATTCTTGAGATGACAAATTGTTAATACGATGAAGAGGTTCAGGTAGTTTAATCCCCCTTGGGATTTCGCTAAAGATTATATAGAGAAATGGACATGTGAATCACCAAGAAGGATAATATCTTATTTGGTGCATGCTTGTTTGGGTTTCATTATAATCATTATAATTTTGAAGGTCAAAGTGAAACTTTAATTTTAAGAACATATTTCGTAGAACTAACAACTACAATCCATTTATCCACCATTCATTTCTATCAATTTATTGAGCAACTTATATTTTCTCTAGAACAAGCACAACTAAATTGGAATAAGTTACACGAATCCATTTTTTTTTTTTCGCATTAGGATTAATATATTTAGATTTGGCAAAGTTTTATGCTGGTCGTCAACTTGCCACAACCCTCCTCATTCACTCGAGTTGGGTTTGCTATAAAATAAGTAGGCGTCGGTTTTCTTGGAGGCAGATGTGATTGAAAAAAAAATTGATGTGCAATCTAAGTTACAAGAATTACTCTCGAGATATAACAAAATATAACTGCGGGAAACAGTACTGGCTATTTAGTGAACCCTTTCATATTCCTAAAGCTTGGCATTGAGGTTCAAACCAACCACTCACGAGCTGATTGAAGACTAATTACATGTTTGGTAAAGACTGGAAAAGCTTAACAACATTCAGGAAGGAAACAAGTTAAACTTGTCCACTATGTTGTAGAGTTTAGACCAACTGTCATTATGATTACTTGAATATTCAAAACCATACGATTGCGATGATGGATGTAAAACTAATGGTCCATACTTTTGGAAGGCACGGTCTATTTAGTAGAGTGGGGATAGAGCGTGTTTGTTAAGTGAGGAACAAAGGGGGGGTCCTTTACAAAATTTAGTATTATTTGTAGTTCATATAGGGGTCCATCAACTCCATTCTAATTTGAATATGAAAGGTGAAAACGACTCATAGTGAAAGACTGGATAGGGTTTCCTCTTTTACTTTTCATTTCTGTGTGGTGGCAAATGCTTGTGAAATTCTTGGTTTCCATCAAACTATGTACAGGAAAAGAGCAGATCTGAAACTTATAATGATTTCTTTCTGTTGAAGATTTTGACTAAACAATAAGGCAGTCAAATGAGTCGAGTTGAGTTTTTTTTTCTTAATCAGAAGAAAATTATGTTTCTTTCCCTCATTAATTATTTGTTGGTTTGACATGGCCTACTTCTAAAGAAATTCCGGTACACAGCCTGGCCCGATGCCAAGGTGAGCTTGTCCATTTGACACTGCTACAAAACATTTGTAACATTTTCTTTAACAGCGTGGCCCTCTCTTTAGGCATCTATCCCGGCATGACACATGCTGGACCATGTCAAGTTTATGTTCCCATGTACCTTTTTTGCACAAATATTTTTTAATAATTATAGGTTCGCATGGGTTGACACAAGTCTGTAGAGCTGGGCCAACTTTAGAGAAGGGCCAGCCCCGTACCGTGCCCATAGCACATCCCAATGGTGCCTAACCTGTAGTTTTGCACATTTTAACATCTGAAAGACTCAACTTTTTGAGCAAGAAGTGGGCATCTTTATATGTGCACCATTCTTAGTGGGTCATTGTGTAGGAGCATGCCCATAGAAGTTGATAGAAGAGTGAATTGCCATCATTTTTTGCTTTTGCCTTGAGTAGATTTTGTCCACTTAGCAGAAGAGAAAGGGAAGGAATTTTTGGGTGGGGTGCTTTAGTTGTGTGTCTTTCTTTTGCTAATGACAATTCCATCTCCTTATTTTTTTTTTTTGGTGACTGAATAAGATCAACTTTTAAGTTACAGGGAAATCTTTCTGCTATAAGATCTTGTTACACTTCATATTTTCCTGTCTTCCATTGACTAAAGAATAATATTATTTGAAGTCACTCAATGCCGTAATCGCCTTACATGGCATACAAGTGACGGTTAGTGATTTGTTGCATAAGATAATAAAAAACTACTACATTAATGTATCAAATTACTAACCGCCACATGTATGTCATATTGGATGATGGCAGTGAGCGACTGCAAATATCATTACTCTTGACTAAAATCGCCAAAGTGGTATTAAAATAAACTGATCGGGCCAGATGCCTGTACAGAGACAATCCGTATTGATCTACAGGGCCTTTGGTTCTTCAAGAAAACAACATTCTTTTTCAAACCTATTTTTGAAGAACTCAAGAGAAAGAGAAAAAGAAGGGATCTTCGGTGGGAATCGAAATAATTTTAATTTTTCGCTGTGCATGTATAAGTAGATTCCCAACAGTGGTATCAGAGCCTACTTTGTATTTGTTATAAATTGTTTAACATTTGGGGCAATCAAAAATTGATTGTCATACATGTTTTAGTTTCTAGCAATTAAGAAAATTTATTATCATATTCAAAATTTGTTTTGAGATAAAAATTAAATTTTCGTAAATTAAAAAAAAATGGATTCTGAAAATCGAGCAAAACTGCCGACAGCGTTGGACGCCTCTTGCCGGCGCTGCTCTCACCGGGGTGCTACCCAGCGTTTGATTGCAACGGCGTACGGCGCTGCTGTTGCACGCTGCTGCAACAGTAGCGCCTCACGCTGCTGCTATTGTAGCAAGCAGCGCTCGCTGCCTGGTAGTATGCAGAGGTGGCGCTAGCCGGCCGCCAAGAAGAAAGATAAAAGGGTGAGTTGGATCTGGGGTTTTTCCTTCCATTGGTGAGAGATGTTGGAGACGGGGGCTGCTTTGCAATTAGTGTAATTACGGGGGGGCCTCCTGCAATTTTAGAATATAGGGGTTATTTTGCAAAATTTTAATAGGGGATCTGTTCTGCAATTTTTAAAATTGCAAGGATCTGGTTTTAATTCCTAAGTTGGGTCAATTTGCAAATTTTCAAAAATAGTTTTGAATTTGAATTTTTGAAATGGTTTTAAATTTATTTTTAAATGGGTTTGACCTAAAATTTCAATTTTGACTCGTTTAAAATTTTATTTAAAATTAACGACTTTTTATATTTTCATTAAAATATGATTTTAACTCAAATATTAAATTTGACCCTAAATTGAATTTTATTTTATTTAGAAGTTTCATCTTAAATTAAAATATTGATTCAATTTAAGTTAGAGTTAGACTCTAATTTAATACTTAATTAAAATTTGATTTTAATTAATTAATCACCCGATTATATTTTTGAAATTAGAATTGAATTCTAATCTGACATTTAATTAAAATTTGATTTTAATTAAATTGTGTTACTCTAAATTAAAATATTAATTAAATTTATTTAGAGTTAGACTCTAATTTAACATTTAATTAAAATTTGATTTTAATTAATTATTCACCCCAAATATATTCTAGAAATTAGAATGAGATTCTAATTTAACATTTAATTAAAATTTGATTTTAATTAAATTGTGTCACCCTAACATTCTTCTCGAAATTAGAGTTGGACTCTAATATGATATTTAATTAAAATTTGATTTTAATTAAAAATAAGTTTCCCCTATAATCTTAGAATTAGAGTTTGACTCTAATCTCGTTATTTAATTAAATTCAACCACCTTAAGTTATGAAATTAGAGTTGGACTTTAATTTGATATTTAATTGAAATGTGATTTTAATTAAATTGTCTCGCCCCTATAATTGTGGAATTAGAGTTTGACTCTAGTTCGGTATTTAATTGAAATTAGATTTTAATTAAATATGTCCGCTAATTAAATAATTAGTTAATATGATTAATTAATTATTTAATTGTTCCGATCCTTTTGTCTAAAAGAGTTTAGACGACTTAATTGCTAGAAACTTGAAACATGTTAGAATATAATATTAGATATTATATATACACATACATTTATGTGATGAATGTATTATTAATGGATGATTATGGATTCGACCATATGGATGTGTTGAATGGTTAATTTTTATTCTTGTCGTTTTGTGGGCCTGCGAGCACTTAATTATTTTGGGTCTGCGAGCCTGTTATTATTGTTATTATTTTGGGCCTACGAGCTCTTGATCATTTTGGATCTGCGAGTCCATTATTATTATTGTTGCTATAGGCCTGCAAGTTCAATTTCATTTAGGTCTGCGTGCCAACTAGTATAGGATACAAATTGTAACTAGACTAATTGAAGAAACAAGAAGAAGAGAAGACCATGGAGATGGTGCATTGATACTGATCAAAGTAATACCCCCTAAAAATTGACCAACTAGTCTTTCTTATGGTTCGGGAAGACTAGATAGTAAAAATCCATAATCGTCCACAATATTATATTATGTTATATATATATTTATTTGCATTGTTGATATATATATATATATATATGATTGTATCGTTATTGATGAGATTTTTGAATGTAAAATTTTTCCATGAAATATTAAGTCACATTTATAATCGTCTTACATCATTATAGTGAAAAATCAGAGTCCAAAATCGTCTGAACTTGTTGAGTACACTCAAAGTTGGTCCATTAGGGATATATTTGACACTATGAAACATTTGAGATTTCTAAATGACGGGTTTGACTTAACTAAAATTTATCTTTTGTTGAATACACTCAAGAAGATAAATTTTAGAGGCATATTGAGCTAACACATAAGATGTGTGAAAACAAATAGTTGTCAGCTTAATGATCTAAGAGTTGTATGGAGATACAAATGATAATAGTATCTACCCAAATGTTATATTAAGGCTTGTTGAGTACACTCAAAGTCTTAATATAATAGATGGGATCCCAACCCACTGGGAGTCAAGTTCGGACTCAATAAATTTTATGTAAGAGAGTCATAAATTTTATTTAAACAGTGAGAGCATAATTAATTTAATAAAAGACCATGTTAAATTAATTGATACATTTTATATATTATTCTTTCCTTTTTCGTTATTTATATTTATTGAATTTGAGTAACAATATGTTTTGAATAGCATACTGAATGCCAACAACCAAATTAAGTCCTTTGATTGGCACTGGAATTTGAGAATTGTTCTCAAGCATAAGAAAG